CCCTTCTAAGAGAGGGGTTCTCAAAAAGGGCTTGACGCTTAATCGAATTCATGCAATGAAAAACTGGAAGGTGTTTTTTTGCCCACACCGTTGCCAGGCTGGAGGGCGCTTGCTTTCTAACGATAAAACCACTAAAACTTTCACGCTGACTAGAGAAAACCTTGAAATTCACTAATTCAGTGCTGGTAAAGCAGGTTCTTTTAAAGCTAACGAAAACAAAAATTTATATTTTGAACCAAAATTATCTCTCAGACAAAACATGTTCGTATAATCTCGTCTCCAGACCTTTCGCCGGGAACGCTGGAGTTGAGTACAAGATCTCGAGGAATTCCTCCGTCGAGGAATTGCCGAGAAGCGCCAGGGAACCCAAATGTATATCTTGAGTGGAGGTGTTCATTTTTCCTCCACTCGACTGATTGGAAGTGGAGCTGGAATCAAGTGGCGTTTAAGAATGCGACCGCGAGTGTGCTTACGCGGAGTAGCTTGGAGCGCGTGGAGTGAAATCCCGCGCTGCAGAACCCAGTTCGTCTCGGGTTCAATCTCCAACCCTATTCGTTTCGACCTGGATGAGAAGCGTACCGGCTTATAATCGTGAATCAAGATTGCGTGGTGCACGTTAAAGAGCACAGAGGCAGTTTTGCTGATCAATGCGGGTACCTCTCCCGGCGGTTACCTCACCCGCAAGAGGGATCTTAAAGTCACGTAACCAGCTCCGTGGGGACAAGAAACTTGGCGTTCCAGCCAGATGGCTGCCGTAAGTCCGTTCTCGCTTCAAATGCTAAAGTCCCATTTTGCGCGAAAGAAATCTCGATGAGGCTTGAAATGGAAGCGAAATGAACCGCATACGTGTAGTTTAGGAGCGGCGTGTAAAGGTATTTCTGGGGAAGGTGGCGTTAATCAAAAATTAAAGAAAAACAACAGGAAAGGCTTACGTCTTTCGAGCGGATTCCACCGGAGCGTTAGTCACTTTCCCCTCCCGGAACCGATCCCGTGACCTCAAATTCCCCCTTTCTGGTGAGTTAGCTGCAGGGACAGATACCCGCACTGATCAGCCAACCGGCCCCGTCTAGCGTTTCCGCTGCACTGGCTAAATTTCTCATCTACTGCTGAGACACCAGACGCCCATTGAAGCGGACTAACTTCCGGCTCTCTTAAACATACATACAACACAATTATTTTATCGCGACCTAGTCTAAACACGATTTAACGCTTGACGTCGCAACTCACCGAACCTGGACCCAACTCCTTAATACCTGTACTTACAATATGCCACAGGGTGCGTACCCATTATTCCGTGTACTAGATAGAGCTGACATGCTAAGAGCTCAGCGTATACCGCGCCGGTAACAGAGCGTGGCGATCGCGCGAAATATGCTACTCAGAAGGAGCGGAGACATATAGTTAATGAACCTTAACCAAAAGGAGTTCGGAACATGTGTGAACCTCGTTTTTTGAAGATGTCGGGTGCTTGAGAGTGCAAGGGGGCCGTCAAAATAGCCGGCCCAAGACGGTGGTTGCAAGACTGCGTGAGACGTTATGTTCGCCTGCCACTCCGTTTTTTCGTTGTAGCTTTCCCAGGGCTGGACTCGAGAGACGATGTTTGAAACAAGTTCCACCAAACCTAGTTCATGCGTCCGCCGCTGGGGGAAGCGTCCGCATAAAAATAAGAGTCTATTACATCCAGTATTCTGGAGTTTGGCCCCGAAACATTCCTTAAATGTTTCGAAAGTTCCAAAACGGGTCCTGCTGCCTTGTGTGGGGCTGTTGTACGTTAGAAGCGAGGCAATAAGTTTAAATATCCCACGACTGCTTTTTTTTTTAAATATTCTTTCAGCCTTTTAATAACAGGCTGAAGTTAGAGTTAGTTGGCACACATCGCGGCACTGTTAGCGCGAACACGACATCGGCGCAATTTCGCATTTACTTCTAAATAGTATTAGCGAGCACGAACTTTTATCGCTTACATTAATGTAAGTTTTATAATTATAAAACTAAATGAGCTCTTTCCGGAGCAATAATAACTTGGATGACATCCCTTGGTTTCAAGGAGAAAAAAACTAGAAAAACCGGCGATAGCTTATTCGCGCTCACAGTGTCGCGCTCTCTACATAATGCAAAAGAAATCGGTAAGCTGGAACGATAGGGACAAAACACAGAGAGGGAGAAATAGAGACATACACACCGCTGTATGTCTCTATTTCTTGGAGTTTGACCGTAAATTGGCCATCAACCGACTTGCGGCCGCCCTTTTAATGGCCGGCCGCAAGTCGGCAAGCAGAGTGGAAAGGCTAGAAAGGTTGCCGTCCTCTATAAACGACGGCGGCAACCAGGCAACTGACAATCCGGTTGTCTGGTTTCCGCCATCGCTAATAGATGGCGGTAGCTGTCCAGAGTTTTGTGTCGAGATTTGTTTGCCCACGGACACGATACTGGGAAAACTAACTCTTAACTGCTCAGCTGTAATATATATAGTATATATACATATACAGGGTGTTTGAGAGAACGCAGGCCAAATCGCTCCTGCGAAAACTACTCATCGCAACAAAAAAGTCTTATGGCGTTTTGGTCCTGGGCCAGCGGCCCATTTAGGAAAATTATGAAAGTCCGGGATAATTAGGTTGTTAATTATGTTTGCGTAATTAACTTTTTTAATATTGTGTTTAAGGGGATTATTTAAATTAGGAAATTGCTCAGCATCATCAGAGAACACTAAATCAACAAATTGCAGAACGACAGAAGGCACGCGAAGCAATTTACAGCTTTCTGAAAAACCGCATAAAACCGACGGGTTTTTAAGTTTCGGTTTGCTATCGGAGCGCATCTCAGCCCTGGCGGCATCGCGCCCCGTGGAGAGATAGTGCAACTAGCCTCTGCTGCGTCGCGCGATGACAGCGCAGCGGAGGTTGGTTGCACTATCTCTCCATGCGGCGCGGTGCCGCCGGTGCCGAGATGCGCTGCGATAGCAAACCGAAACTTAAAAACCGGTCGAATTTGTGCGGTTTTTCAAAAAGCCATAAAATGCTTTGCGTGCCTTCTATCGTTCTGCAATTTGTTGATTTAGTGTTTTTCGATAATGCTAACCAATTTTCTAATTTATATCATGCCCTTAAACACAATGATAAAAAAAAGTTAATTACGCAAAAATAATTAAGACCTTAATTATCCCGGACTTTAATAATTTTCCTAAATGGGCCCCTGGCCCAGGACCAAAACGCCACAAGCCTTTTTTCGTTGCGATGAGTAGTTTTCGCAGGAGCGATTTGGCCTGCGTTCTCTGAAACACCCAGTATATACATATACCATATAGCCAAGCAAAATTTGAAATAGGGACAGCACGCTGAAATATATATATATTTTTTTCCGACTGCCTTCAAAGGGTGAAGCGGCTTTCTAATGTGCAGTAATATAGCTGAACTGCAATCATCATCAGCAGCGGTAGATTGCATGCACGTGTTGCGTATGTTAACGCATTGTAATGGTTTTATGCATGCATAATGCGCTGACAAAACGCTCGTGTTATACCGTTACGCACCTGTAGCACAAGTAAACGCGTTGTAAAGGTTTTATGCATTCATATTGCGCTGACAAAACCTTGTTATACGTATTCAGTAATAAGCCTTCACGTCGGGTGCGGATGCTTGTAATGGAGATGTAGCAGCGGCTCCTGACGTAATATTGGAAAGTAAAAAAAAACAAGGCAAGAGCTTAATTATTTTCGAGTTGGGAGCACACAGCTCGAACTTCGACCGAGCAGACTTTCTTCCTCTTGCCCGAGAGGCGAACTTTTACTTTTGAGCCGCGAGAGACGCGAACGATCATCCGAATCAAGAGTTGTGTAATCTAACGGGTGACGCATCGACGCGTTCGGAAACTCCGGTGACGCTGAACCAAAGTTACAACTCTATCCTCTCGGACAGCTATCTTAGAAGCAGTAAAAAAAATTCACAAACACAGCTTTTTTTTTTTTTCTTTTTCTTTCTTACGAGGGTTAAGTATTCTTGATAAATGACGCGTGAGACAAAAAACAACAACAAAAAAAAAAAACACAAAAAGCACGGTCCCGATTTTTAATTGCTGGCAGCGATTACTAAGGAATTTGGACTTAGCGTTACCGTTATACCGTCACCGTTACAACCTTGCCATCCCCTGGCACAGAATGTACCGCTAAAAGAAATTTACCGCGGACCGTCATCTTTAACAGCCATGTTGTCTTCCGGCTGCACGTTTGAAGACGAAGGTCGTCTAAAATGTTTCGTCGGTGGTACGTTCTCAGCCCGGTTTTGACATGGCGGAAACGGGCAACGGTGTTTAGTAACGCCATCCTAAAACTTCCTCCTATCAACCGCGAGGAAAGGGGGAACCGATCCAGCAGGTATTAGATTACACCAACATGCAATACCGGTGTACTTTGTCGAAGTGGAACAATAATACATTTAGTCATTTTTTATTATATTAATAGAGAGGTAAATGGGAACATAATCTATATAGTCGATGACAAGATCAGAACGACTGGGAGGTCCTTCGGTTGTCTCGCCTCTCGGGCGCGAGCGTCTATTTTCAACAACGCTTCGGATGCCTTGTGAGCTTCTAGCATGGATAAGCAACCAATTCCCGATGGAAGACAACAAGAGCGGGGAGGGGGGAGGGGGGGGGGGGGACATTCCAAATGGACGCCGTGTTGTTCTCATCCTGTTGGTATCTATTGAGGATCCGCGCGACCAAAAGCATCGCTGTGCTCGGCCTTCCTCCATTGGCCAATAGGCGACTGTGATCTCTTAAGTAAGATTAATTCTACGTTTATTATTGAACTTTTACGGTGTTGGTTCAATGGCGCGATGATTAAGCTTCACCGTGCCTTTTACACACACTGTCCAAATTGTCGCTTGCAACTGATAATCCTGATCACGACGTCAACGACAGAAACCAAAAGATGGAGAGAGCAGTAGCCACAATTAATACCAAGTTCGAGTGACAGGGACCGACCAGCTTTCGGCTCGCAGGTGGCCAAGATGGTGATGGTGGTGGCGGCGGCGTTCGCGCTGTCCTGGACCCCGTACTTCCTGGTGTCCATGGTGACCCAGTTCGGCACCAACTACCTGGAGCGGCAGAACTACTTCTTCACCATGCTGAGCATCAACCTGCTCGCCTTCCTCAACTCGTGCGTCAACCCCTTCATCTACGCGGCCATGAGCTCCCGCTTCAGGGCGGGCTTCCGCAGGATCCTGCATCCCGCCTGCGGAGGATGCCACGGCCACGAGCAATGGACCAAGGCTTCCAGGCCGGTGAACTGCTCGTCCATTCCTCACATTTAGTACCTGTTACATACCACATCTCCGCACTAAAAAACGCCAAGAAAACATAGAGGAAGTAAAGACGACGACAACACAAGTCGCTCCTTAGTTCGCCTTGTGTTGACCGGGGCAGTATTGATCCTAGCCTTCAGGCCATTCGCTTTTGGTGCGTAATGGACCAATCAGCCCAAAGCACCATTGTATTACTATGCTCCGTTTCACATTAAATCCTACAGCAGCCGATCGCTACAATACAACGCGGATCGCAAGTTCGTCTGCTTATTTTGCAGGGGCTGTGGTGATGTCAGAACACCGAGCTTTGATTGTCTTTGATTGAAGGATAGTGGGTGGACCCATAGCCTCCTCTATACTCACAAAGCCTGGCAGTTCGACGACGAAGCCATAGAGTGCCCGGTCGCAGAATTGGAGCACGAGGATCTGGTAGCACAGAGCATTAATGAGCCAAATTTCGGAGAACCTGGACGTCAGCGCACAGCTGTTGTAGTGGCGATGACCCGAAACACTCTTGTTGGCTCGGGAGAAGTGTGTTTCGGCGTCTCGCCGCTGCGGGGCGCCAGTCAAGTGGCTCTCCTCTCATTCGTTGTTTTCCGCTTCACGTTTTCTATTTCGGCGGCTGCTTCTCCTGGCGATGTGCCAGGCTTTGTCAGTATATAAAAGGCTATGGTATACCTCGAGGCAGCTTGCTTTGAGGTCTGCCCACTATCCTTTAGTCAGAACCAATCAGGGCTCGGCGTTCCGACGTCGCTGCAACCCCTGCAAAAGAAGCAGACGAACTTGCTCTCCGCATAGGGACAATCAAGCAGTGCATCGTCACGGTGCTCGTACTCTTTGTGCGCTTGCTGCCACCGCCTAAACCTAAACGAATCACGCGAGGGAAAAAGAGCGCAGGATCGTGTTGCATGCATTCACTGTGCGCGATTATTTTATACGGGAAAAGCAAACGAACAGAAACGACGAGCGCAGTGATGATGATGTACTTGTGGCGCTCCTTGATAGGTTCCATTCGATCGTAGTTACGGCTATGGTCGAACAGAAAGAGTGAAAGGGAGTATACAGGCACCGAAAGCTTAAAGGCCGGTGACCAGACTCGACATTCTGCGAGGCAGAAGATCCTACTCATTATGGGGAAGGAGGAAACAGGCAATGGTGGACAGGGTAAAAGGGAGGAGAGGAGGAAGCGAGAGAAAAGTGGAAAGCGCGAACTTGTCGTCGGTCTTTAAGGTCGCTCCGCAGTACCATACTCGTTGTCACCTAAAACGAAAAAAAACACACACAAAAAAAAAGGTTTTGTGCACTGGATTCATACGCCCCGCGAAGTAGTTTTTACAAGATTTGGTTGTCGGGGGAAGAGATGATGCTTTTGGCGTTTGAAACGTGTACGTCTCAATAAGGTAACGTACATCTAATATAAAATGCCCCTACGTACGCCCTAATTGTCCACATGAAGGGGAACATTAGTAACACTCCGTGAGAGGTCGGACTTTTTTCATTTCTTTATTGATGTTTTCGATGTGAAAACGAGCATTTGCAGACGATAAGAACGCATAAGAACGCAGCACCGATGCAAGAAACACAAACATAATGAACCCCCGTGTTTTTTTTTTTGTTTTTTTTTTGTTTTTTTGTTTCAAGTTGTCAGTGACGATAGGCTTTCTTTAAGAGTCGCTAAAGAAGGCGCTGACAACATCCAAACGAGTCAGGAACTCTTTCAGTAGTCTTGTCTCTCGTCAAAACCCTGCTGGCTTTTTTTGTATTGCCTTGAAGGATAATGTGGCCTTCGGTGACTAAATAGACGCCAGAACCTTAAGGTAGCAAATTCGCAGTAGTGACGTTAACATGATATAACGTGTCCGTGCCGTTCTGTCTCTAACCATACTCGTCTGCGAGTGTGTTATTTGAATTGCATATTGTTTCTGGCAGAGTGTGCACATTTGACGGTGTTCAGAGTGCAGTTTTATCCCAAACTCCTATACCATCAAAAAAAAAAGTCAATAGATTAGGGCAAGACTGGCTGTCACCGCTTGCGGGGTCCATGCGTTTGATACGAGCGATGAGCCGTGATTCTTTATATAATAACTGCGTAAAAACTGTCCATTAGCGTGCGGAGGGCTTTCTTAGCGGGTCGGCTGTGACCAAAACGTCGATTTGGGATCCATAGAGGCAAAGTGCTAGAGTTGATACGATCTCATTAGTAGGATAAAAGCCGCTAAAATACTGCTGGGGAAATTAGTGTTAGCTTTCATTCTGACTCGATCAGCTCTGCTCGCAAGCTGCGTAGGAGGGACCAACCATTAAAAGCTTTCTAGTGTGCCCCTCACAAGACGTATGCCGAAACATGCGTCCATCGACTTTTTTTTCTTTCTGACCCAACAATCTGTCAACTTCTTGGCGCCCATGGTGACACGAAGACTGATGATCAGGCTGCCTGAATTGATTTTTCTCCCGTTGATTCGTCGCCTTTCCGGGCATATTTCTGAGATTGATCTACTAGCACGCATGCTGCAGAGAACTAAACATAAAAATAGAATATCAGTCGGAGTTTTTTCCTGCCATCAAGGTACTTTTTTTTATTATACGTTTCCTCTGAAATCAACTATTCACTTATAGATTCGTCACACAGGGTTCGTACGATGTTTGTTACAAAGATGGGGCTCTATTGTTGGTCGCGGCTATTGGCGCAATGGTCTTGGAAACGCACGCGAACTCTAGTTCTAAATTTACTTTCTTCCCTCTTGGTTTTCATCATAAGGCCATCCTACAAAAAGCACCAGTTCTTCCAGCTTAAGCGTCTAGATGTATTGTAAATGTGATTGCCCCCGCACTGAAGTAATTGAAACCTGTTTTCGTTTTTTTTTTGTAGTTGACCTAGCTGGTTGCGACAATGAGAGTGCTCTTTCACGGTTCACCTGACAGGTTTTGTCCATAACTGATCTAGGCATAAACGCTAGTGTATAATTCGTTTATTTTTTTTTTCTCCGCAAGTCGTGAAGATTGAACACTTCACCACACAGCTTTCTTACCTTTAATATTGATCCAGTCCGTGAGTGGTTTTCTGGATTCGCGGTTCCAGAAACCGTGCAGGAACTGTTAACCTCAATCAAATGTCTCAAGCATGTCTGCCAAGAGCCTGAGCCACGAGATACTATAATTGCACGATCACTCGCTAAAAGCGAATTGCGCGACGATCACACGACGTGATGCGTTTTGAGAGCGACAGCTGTGCCGCTTATTCGACGGTAGCACGACGACGATCGATTGACATAGCACCGATCGTGAGTCATACGGTGTTCTGATATGGAAATGGCGTTGCTTGAATTTAACGTCGATACGTTGTTAATGAATTATTTTAAGATCGTGATATGTTTTTCCGCTAAATTTAGCGGGAAAACTGTGTTTGTTCATAGGTCACGGGACGTTAATTTTTCCGCTAAATTTAGAGGGGAACCTGAATTTGTCTGTAGGTCGCGTCACGTCTGGTCATTTGACATAAATTTGCTCCTCCAAATTTAGAGGGGAAACTGAATTGGCGCATAGGTGAGCTGACGTAATTTTTTTCGCTAAATATAACGGGGAAACTGACGGCGTTTACGCTCACACCGTTGAAAAAATGGGGTAACGGGCCACTATGGACCTGTTCCCCATTTCCCAAGGGCGCCACCATCTTGAATTGTCGTCACTTCCAGCATGGACGAAAACATTGTTTTGCTGTCGCCATGCCAATAGAAGGCATTTACAATATAAGCGTAACCGTCACACGTTCTAGTTTTGACTCCCCTCTATTCTTTTACTAGTTACAGGTTGAAACGTTTTATTATTTTTTTGTCCCCCATACCGGATACGCCAATGAGGTGGCTGGGGACAAGAGTGCAAGGAAAAGGTCTATAGACCTTTTCTGTGTACTCTCATTCCCAGCCACTTAATAGGCGTATCCTGTATGGGCGACAAAAAATTACTAAAACGTTTAACCTGTAACTAGTAAAAAAATAAGAGGGAGGCAAAGTGAGAATGTGTGACGGTTACGCTTATATCCTAAGTGTCTTCAACTGGCGTGGCAACGGCAAAAACAATGTTTTCGCCCATACTGGAAGTGACGACAATTCAAGATGGCGCCGCTCTTGAAGAAAAGATCTATAGACCATCCCAGTAGGAAGGGCGGAGAGAGCAAAATGCCTTCCCCTCTCACCCCGCGGGTCGTCTGCTCCGCCGAGTGGGCTGTACAAACCTAGCATCCGGCTGGCGTTCAAACTCGGTTTAAAATCGCGTCATTTTTTAATTTTCATGCGCAAATGCACGAATTTTGATGTGCAAGTAATCGTGTAATGCTATGTTTAATAAAAAGACTAACCGGATCTAGTTGCGCCGTCACCTGCCGTGCAAATAAAAAAAAGCGTAAAAATTATATTAGAGTGGTCGGTCTGTCCCCTCCGGCGAAAAGTAAATCCGGTTGCAGTAGCTTTTTACTATATGAAGGTCACACTGGTGTAGGCCTTTAGCGAAAATAAGTGGGGAGCCCGGAATAAATAAATAAAAAGGTGCTCCTCTGATGCAATATACGCAGTGGTTGAGGGTATGTACTGCCGGCTGACGCCACTGCTATTGAAGTAACGGAACATAGATAAGCTAGCTGATCAGCTACTGAAATAAAACAACAGAGCGCTATAGGCTAATTCTGGAGTATTCATAAATATTCTAGAAACAGGAACCACTTTAAAACGGTAGCCGCGAGCGAAAGTTCAATGCTCCATACAAACCGCCGTTACAGCACAAAGATGGAGAACGGCGCCCTCCCCGTTTATCGTCTGCTAGCGGAATCGGGCGCGTGCCCTTTCCCTCGTTTTACCCCACCGAACCTACTGAAGTTCCAGGATGTGTGGAGAGGATACTGCGGTCGAACAAAATGGCGCTGCCCTGAAAGTCCTTACTCGAATAAATTATAACAGCTGTCGCCGTAAGGAAAAAAAAAAAAGAAAACGTCAGAAAGAATTGTTTTTTTGTGCTTG